CGTTAATTCGAATTATATCACAAAGTTTTGAAATACTTTATGCAATTTTTTATATTTAACAAGAAGGACGTAAAATTTAACATTAAATTTTTTCTTCATAATTATATTTTAAATAGTTCAAATAATTTAAAAAAAAAGAATTTATGTTATTTCAAATAATAATTATAAAAGAAACATTTGATAATTATAAATTTTTTGATTATATGAAAATATAATACATATATGTATGTTTTATGATAAAAAATTATAATATTATTTTACATCTTTGGTATATCTAAATAAACTTCCAATACATAAAATCGAATTAACGAGAACATAACATAAAGAATTCTATGCTAATATCCTTAAAATATTTAAAAGATGCTACAAGTGCTTATTCTGTTTATTGTAAACAAAATATGATTATTTAATATCTATTTATCAGTAGTACACACTACTATAAATAAAATAGTAAATAAAAATCCTATGTTTAATTGGAAAGATGTTTTTTCTTTATTTACAAGTTATAATTGCTATATTCACCGTATTTTAACGTCGAGCATTTCGCTTTATGAAATACTGACATTTTTTATGGACGGTTGAATTGAGTACCTCGTCGCTTGTCATGTATCAAATAAAATAATATAATTAAATATTTACATAAATAAAAACTTAATCCATTTCATTTAAAATTTTTTTTAAAAATTATAAATGAATATAAGTAGCTGAATTTAGAAAAAAAAAGAAATAAAATAAAAAATATTAAGAAAAGAGTAATTTAGAAAAACTACCTATAATAAATAATGAATGTTAATAATAATTTGATAATATCAAGTAACTACTTCATAATTAAAAAATTAAATTAATTTTAATATTTCCAACTTATATTGTAACCCCTTTCCTTTTGTTTTAATTAAAAAAATAAATTATTTGTTTTAAAAAATATAAATATAAATATATGCTATTAATTATTAGCTATGTATTCTTTTAATTGTAACATTTATTGTAACAATTACTAAGTGAACAAATTTATAATGCAATATATTAATTTATATTCTGGATCAAAATTTAAATTATATATATATATATATATATATATATATGTATATGAGATTAAAAAAAAAA